CAATTGGCGATTGATCCTACAGGGGAACGACTTGTGGTATGTTTCAAAGATACACCATTGCTGGTGATATTCCACGCCAAGCGACCAACGTTGGTGTCAAGAGGTTCGAGTTTATTAAGTGCTCAAGGAATAATGAGAGGACCATCCTGGCACGATCCTGATGACATAGGCGCTTTTTTAAATCAGCCTGATCCTAAAGCCATTTCGATAACTTTTGCGAGACATTTTGCGAAAGGCGCATTACTGAGTTTGGTATGTAATGAATTTACGTTTTACGATACTGTTTCCTAAATTATTTGATTAATCTTAATGACATCCTAGATATGGGAAGATGGCCAAATATCATTTTTACCATTTTATTTTCGTCCAACTGGAAAATAATCATTTACTCTTTAAAGATTTTAATCTACATATGTGGGACATCGTTGATTACTGTAACAATGTATGTAAGTTGTTAGACGGATCGTATAACTATACATTAAACATTTGTTTCTATGGTTTCTCATTATAATTTTTTTTTTGTCTATATATTAGAAAAAATAGAGTGAATGACCGATTAGTATCCAAAAATAAACAACAATAGATTATCGATGATTCGGATATAAAGTATTTTAATAAATTCATTTTTAATGAACAAGAATTTTAAGGTAGTCTCATATTCCACGAAACTTATTCATACCCATACTAGACTCTTTCGATAATTATGGCAATCCCTAAAAATGAATAAGCTTAAGTACTTTTGTTAAGACACTATAGAAAGGATTAAGATTAAGATTACCTTGACCACCACCAATGCAGGCGGAACCAATTGCGTATTGTAGTTTGGTTCTTTGGAGTTCATATACCAAATGGCCTAGAATACGCGAACCAGATGCTGCGAGGGGATGTCCAAGAGCAATGGCTGAAACAGAGAAAATTAGCCAAGAATCGGAATTTTCAGCAAAATCAATGAAGGATATGCTTACCGCCTAAGAAATTGATATTAGTAAATAAAAATACAAATGTACTCCAGATAACGAAATAACTAACCGCCATTTGTGTTGGTAATTGCGCGATCCAATCCCAATTCCTTTTCTACAGCAAGATATTGAGGGGCAAATGCTTCGTTAACCTCAATTAATCCAATTTCCGAAAGTTTCAATTTAGCCTTTTGCAAAGCACCCTTGATAGCAGGTACCGG